AAACAACAGTATGAAGCCTATACATAGAACAAGAGGCAGTTGTCCAAGTAGAAAAAAGGAGCACTGCCTGGCATAAAATCAGGAAAGGTGGCCTCAGAGTTACATCTGTTCTCCATATCTATTCAATCTGTATGCAGAGCAAATCACTGAAGAAGCTGGACTTTATGAAGACGAATGTGGGGACAAGACTGGAGGAATATTTGTAAATAACCTGCATTGTGCAGAAGACATAACCTTGACTTTCTGCAGAAAGTGAAGAAGACTTGAAGCTGCAGAAGATCAAAGTCTATACAGCCTTCAATTCAGATTATATCTCAACATCAAGAAAACATGTATCTGTACTTTTGGTCCAATAGGGAACATCATGATAGATGGAGAAAAGACTAAAGTTGTCAATGACTTAATTTTGCTTGGCTCTAATACACATAGTAGGCAGAAATAAAAAAATTAAAAAAATGTGTTCCACTGGGAAAATCTATTGTCAAAGACCTCTTTAAAGTGTTAAAGAACAAGGGTGTTATTTTAAAGACTAAGGTGTTCCTGATCCAAATAATGGTATTTTCAATTGCTTTTTATGTAGGTGGAGGTTTGACAATGAATAAGGAAGATCAAAGAAGAATCAATGCCTTTTAGCTGTGGTATTGGAGAAGAGTACCGAACATCCTATGAATTACCAAAAGAACACACACACACATGTTTTGAAGAAAGGGCTATGAGGGTGCTCCCTAGAGGCAAAGATGGGGAAGCTTTGTCTCTATACTTCAGGCATATTATCAAGGGGAGCCAGCCCTTGGAAAACAACATCATGCTGAGACCATCAGGGAGAGGGATGAACACAGAGACCACAACAACAGACTGGGACACGTCAGAGATAGTGAAGTGAGGCAGGATAGGTCAAGGTTCCGATCGGGTTCATGGGATCACTATGAGTCATGGTCAGCTCAAGGGCACCTAACAATAATAATGTGCCCGTAGTGGCAATTGGAGGCTGTGATCAAGAAGAAATTTCCTAATGAAGTAAAAATCAGATAAACAATTGTACTCTCAACTATTTGGGGCTGACTTTATTCATTCTGAAGCAGAAACTGTTTTTCCAAGACAGGCAAATTGAAATAATTATTGTAGAATGAGCTCTGTGCTTGAGGGAAATGCTGTAAGAACATTAGTGGGTCTTTTGATAAAATTGGGATGAGGATGATAGATTGATTAAAATATTGTATCAGTGTAAACATTTATTAAAATTTATATCTGTACTGCAGTTATGTAAGAGAAAATCCTGATCCATAGGACTGAACAAAGAATCACACTAAATTGTTTAGAAGAGTCTTTCCACATTTCATTTCGTCTCACATGGTTCATGGGGAAAAAAAGTGTGCTTATATCCTCATAAGAAGAGACAGATAAATATAAGGAAAACGGGGCAAAATGAACAATAAATGAATCTGAGTAACTACTATAAAGGTTTTCTTTGTACTATCTTATTCTTACGACTTTTTTGTAAGTGTAAAATTATTTTCAGTAAAATATCTTAAAATATATTGGCCTCCATAAAGAGAAATGACGTCTTGATACATGTCAGCACACGATGAACCTTGGAAACAGGCTGGGTGAATGACATCAGTCACAGAAGAACATTTACGTATGATCTCACTTAAAGGAAAAGGCAAAAATTTTGAGACCAGAATGTTTTCGTGGTTACCTGGGGCAACAAGAGGAGGAAAGAGGAAGTTATTGTTTAAGAAGCACTGAGTTTCTGTTTATGGTGATGGATAATTTGGCAATGACTGGTATTGGCTGAACTACATGAATGCACTTGGGTTACTATATTATACATGGCAAAATGTAAAATTTGTAAATGCTTTATCTATTTCTGTCATATGCATAATACAGGTTGTTTATGAGTCTTCTTCTGATCCTGCTAATATATTCTTCTTCATAAAGTCCAGCTTGTCCAGTGATTTTGTTCAGCATATAGACTGACTATGGAGAAAGGATACAACTCCGAGGCATACCTTTCCTGATTTTAAGGCAAACAGTGTTTCCTTGTCCTGCTCGGACAATTAGTACTTGGTCTGTGTACAGATTTTGCATAAGCACAATTAAGTGTTCTGGCATTCCCACTCTTCCCAGTGTTAGTCATTATTTGTTATGATCCACATAATCAAATTCCTTTGCCTTATCAATATAAAACATAAGTCAATATCTTTCTGGTATTTTTTTAGCCAAGATCCGCCTGACATTAACAATGCTATCCCTTGTGCCATGGCTTCTTCTGAATCCAGGTTGGTTTTCTGGCAGTTCCCTGTTAATATACTGTTCCAACTGTTTAGTTGTGTGTTGGGTTTTTTTTATATTTCATCTTTTATTATGTTTGTTATGTAACAAGTATGCTATTTCCTAAAATAGCTGACCAACTGTTTTTTAATAACATTCAGCAAGATTTTACTTGCCTGTGAATGAATGATATTGTTGAATAATTTCCACACACTATTGAATCTCCCTTTTTGGAAATGGGAACAAAGATTGATCTCTGTTAGTCAGCTGACAGGTAGCAGACTTTCATATTTATTGGCAGACAATGGTGGAACCATTGGAGGCTGCATCTGTTTCCTGAAATACCTCAGTGGGTTTTCCATCAATTCCAGGCAAGTTGGAAAGTTGACAGCTACTGGTCTTTTAAAATTATATAATCATGTTATACTATGCTGAGGGTGACAAACTGAAGGAGAGTAGTATTGAATTCACTCTAAAAAACCAAACCAAACCAAAATAAGAAAGATCTACCCTGAAGGTACATAGGATAATATTCATATGCATATAATGAAGACTTAATATGATAATTATGCATATATACACACCAACCACTAAAGCCAAAGACCAAGAAACTGAGGATTTCTACCAATGTCTGGTGGTTTAGTGGTAAGGAATTGTGCTGCCAACCCAAAACAATGCATTTCGAATCCACCAGCTGCTCCATGAGAAGGATGGGCCTTCTCCTCTCATGTGATTTATTGCCTCTGAAAACCCTCTCAGGGGTCAGCTGTGAGTCAGTTCCAAATTATACTGAAGGTAGTGGCAAAAAATTTAAAACCAACCAAAAACCAAAAAACACTCCACAAAATGATGAACTAGCAACTGATGTGTTTAAATAAATAAAAACCGTCCTGGAAGTGCTTGCTCATCTACGTAAAAAAACTGACTGGAAGAATTAAATATTTATACCCATTAAAAAAAAAGTGACCCAGAAAAATGTGGAAATTGAACAATATCATTAATACCATGTGCAAGTAAAATATTACTAAAGATTACTTTAAAATGGCTGGGAACTTCCAGAAATTCAAGTTAAATTCAGAAGAGGCCATGGAATTATCCTTGAAGCCAGAAGGATCTTGGCTGAAAGCAGAGAGTAAAGCAGAAAGGTGTGTACTTGTTTTACTGACTATGCAAAGACATTCAGCTGTGTGGATCATAATAAATTATGGCTAACATTGCAAAGAGCAGAATTCTTGAACACCTCATTGTGCTCATACAGATCTTGCATATGGACTAAGAAACAATTGTTCAAACAAGCAAGGGGATAAAATCAGGTGACATATACATCAGGGTTGGATCCTGTCATCAAACCCATTCAATCTTTATGTTGAGCAAATAATTTTTTAAAACTTGGATTATAAAGAAGAACGTGGCATCAAGAGTAGAGGAAGAAGGAAATCTGGTGTCCCGGTGGCAAGAAGCTGTGTTGCAATCCCAGAGTGTGGAGGAAGATTCATCAGTAACCTGTGTTATGCAGATGAAACAACCTTGATTGTGCCAAGTGAAGCCCTGTAAAGCACTTACTGGAAAAGATAAAAGACTTCAGTATAGGTTATACTTCAATATATAGAGAACAAAAATTCTCACAACTGGGTCAGGAAGCAACATCACAATAGAGGTAAGTGTGAAGTTGTCAAGGATTTCCTGCTACCTGGATCCACAGCAATACCCAGAAACAGCAGTGGAGAAGTCAAACCATGTATTACAATGGGGAAATCTGCTGCCATGGACCTCTTTAAGGTGCTAAGAAGCGAGGTGTCATTCTCAGCACACTTCAGTGTACCTGGCCCAGCCTCCCACTTGGCTTCATATGCATGTGAAAGTTGGACAATGACTAGGGAAAGATCAAAGAATTGATGCCTTTGAATTGTGGTGCTGGCAATGAAGAGTGAATGTCATTAGAAAAATGGTGAGATTCTTATCTCACATATATTGGATACATTATCAGAAAGGGCCAGTCTCTGGAAAACAACATCATTCTCAGAAAAACTGAGGGTCAGCAAAGGACAAGAAGACCCTCAGTAGGATGGACCAACAGGAGTGAATGCAACAATATACAGCAGAGACCATGAGGGAGGAGAAGGGATCCCCCCACCTCGCTTCCTTCTGCTGCCATGAAGAGTCAGAGCCAAGCTGAAGGCTTCTAACAACAAAAATGAATGTTAGCAAATAAATGTGTACAAATAGTTGAATAGAAAACAAAATTATAAACTTTCAATCAAGTCACAATAAAAGTTATAAAAATGAAAAAAAAATAATAAATACTGTGTGACCCACACACATACACACGAAATAAAAAACCAAACGCTGTCACTTGGAGAGAGAACAACGCCTCCTTGTCGTTATATGTAAAATGGCGCTGCATAGAGGTACTTACCGGATGTGTGTGTGTGTGTGTCACTTAGAGTGTGAGAGTGTGTGTGTGTGTGTTAAATGCATTAATAAATGTATATTTAGAACAGTGCCTGACATGCATAATAACTCAAGGAATGAGTTATTAGCTATTATTACCATTGTGCTCCAAGAGTTTAGCACAGAGAAGTGACTTGGGATTTTCAGGCCTTTTGGATAACAAGCTCAAACAAAGCTATCTGTGTAAAGGTAGAGAGAACCTCTCCCTCATGCTCGTGGAAAGGAAGGTAGACTGAATGACCTGGTGGATGCTGACTATCTACACCCAAGCATACCTTTGGAGGCTCTGTGGTCATCTTGATGCTGGCCTGCAGGATGGAGATAGGGAAGTCTGGGTGGGGGCTGGAGCTGAGCCAGAGGCGGAAGGAAGAGTGAGGATCCTCCACTTGCAGCTGCTCCACCAGTTTATCCAGATTAGGCATCCAAGACAAGGACAGGTGGCAGTTAGCCAGGAACACCCAGTGTCCTGTGAGGAGATGCTGGGCTCAGTGGCATTCACTCCCTCAGTCCCACCTGTCCTCACGCTTTCCAGGGCTTCTCTGGAGAAGCAGAAGCTGCAGTTGCAGCCCTGTGACTGGGGATGCAGGAGCTGGAGGCCAGGGCCAGGCCCAGGGAGACGGGGCATGAGGGAACAGGGTGGACACTGACCCTGAATCACACCCTCTCGGAGGAGCCGTGCAGCGATGGGGGCCTGGCCCTGGCCCAGGGACAGGGCATTGAAACGCTGGGCCATGCCCGTGTGCTCGGCCAGCTGGAGCAGCGCGCCGGTGGGGTCCACACCCGGGGACAGGATGAATATGAGCGGGGTCCGAGGGGTTGAATCCTCCATCACCTGCCAGAGCACAGGGCATGGGCTTGGGCAGAAGGCCAGATTGTTCGGAAATACAATGAGAAGCTGAACAGGGACGGGTAGCGGGAGGATGCGGGCTTGTGTGGACTCGGAGGCCGGGCCACTGACCAACTTCATGTTCAGCACAGGTGGCTCAACAAAGCGGGAGCCGAGGTTGGAGACGATGAAGGAAGTCACGCAGAACGCCACCCGGTCCTGGCGCAGGGAGCGAACGATGAGCATCCGCTGCATCTCGTTGCACGTGTTCTCCCACTCTCCTGCGGGTGGGCGGACAATGGCAGGGCCAGGGAGTCCAAGAGGCAAGGATCGGGGCAAGGGGCGCCTGCGGGGAATGCTGTGGGCAGGGGCAGAGGCGACTCCACACTGAGGGGAGCTTGGAAGCAGGACACAAGCATCAAGAGCCTGGCAAGCCTGGGAGGAGGGAGGCCGCTGGGGAGGCGCAGGCCTGGGTACCTGGCAGCATAGCCTTCTCCGGGGTGGCGCTGGTGTACCACAGGTACCAGTCACGAGGGTACTGCTCAAAGGAGTTCATGAGGCCGTGGAAGTTGGTCAGCTTGTCGAGCTCTGTGATGTTATCCCAGTAGGCGTCTGCAAGCCAGTTAGTACACGGATTGTCCATTTGGCCCTCCCGGTCCAAGACCTGGGGGAAATGAGAGAGGAGAGAGATTGGCTGGAAACACCTCAGAAGGCTTGTGCTTTCATCCTCCGAGATCCCATAATGGAAAACACAAGTCTTGTGTTAAACAGAGTGAAAAGCAATTGACATCCACTGGGGAAATAGAAGTGAGACTCTGATCCTGTAGAGTACTATCACACTCAAACTTAGAAAGCTGGTGCCCTCTGCTGGCTAACTCTGAAGAAACTGTCCCTTCCCTTTCTCATTCTTTATGGATTTGTGTGTTGTTAGTTAACTATATATTTGAACATGTGGAACATAGTTAACTATATATTTGAACATGTGGAACATATAATTGGACAAAACAAACATACAAACATATCTGCCCTCAAGGAACTTACTTTACTACATGGGAGGACATAATAACATGTAAATAATGTATGTTAGCAGGTGACAGGGCTTTGGAAAAACCAAGAAAAATGGTCTGAAAGAAGTGTATGATTTGGCATTATATGTATGGCAATAATCTGGAACAAGAAGTGCATTGCAAAGTGGACTGAGGAGAGAAACTGGAGGGGAAGGAGGGAAATGTGCAGCAATGAATGAACGAAAACTCAACCTTTCTGTAAACTTACGTTAAAATCATCCATACACATACACACAGAGATCAGGAAGGTCATATTGCGTTGAGATCTGAATCAACCTGAAGGAGGTGAGAAAGGGCCAAGTAGACGTTTTTCCCAAGAGGGAAGAACAAGAGCAGGGGGCTCAGGACAGGCTGTGGTTGCGCGCAGAGGAGCAAGAGGCCTGTGCGGCCGAGCGGAGAAGGAGGGCTGCAGTCAGTGACAGCCATCTTAAAGGATTTCTCTGGTTTCTGTGTTGAAGGACTGCTGGAGGTGCTGATGGGAAGCTCTTGCTGAAATCCTGATGGGCGATGGAGTGAAGGTTGTACAAAGAGTGAAGCTACTGTGTAAGAGAGGACAAAGGCTGGCCCGAGGAGCCATAGTTTGGATGTCCGGCAACCTTCAGGCCCCTTGAGGTTCATAATCATGAATTTAGAGCAAGTCCAGTTGGAGTGATTACATGGTTTTCCACAACTTTGCTCAGCTGTATCGGATGCAGAGACACAGGGAGAGAAGTTATTTTTGTTGTTATGTATGGCTGAGTTTGAACTCTGACCCACAGCTGACCCTCCAGCGGGTTTTCAAAAGCAGTACATCGCACTGGGGGAGAGTGCCCATCTTACTCCTGTGAAGCAGCCGGTGGATTCAAATCACATACCTTTGGGTTGACAGCACAGGATCTCTATGAGTCATACTCAACTCGATGGCACTTAACAACATCATCAAACCATGTGAGGGAGAGAAGGAATGGATCTAAATAGGGAGCTAGTTTGACCAAACAAACTGCAGAGAAGGAGAAGTCAGGGGCCGAGGGGTCTGCTGGGAAGGCTTTCTAATGGTGACTAGGGAATTTCAGCTGCAGAATGAGCAGGCAATGGTGGTGGTGGGGGGAGGTAAGATCACACTAATGAATAGGCCACAGAAGGAGGGGCTCTGAAGACTAGCCTGTGATGCAAGCGAGGAGACACAAGGCCAGTGTGTCCTGAACTCATCCTGAGCCTGCGCCCGGCCTGATTTCCCTCAGCCCCTCGCTGATGCCTTGGTCCGAAACCTTAGGCACGATGTATTCATCGTACTTGCCCATAGTCCCAATTTTTGCCACGTCAGATTTGGTTTGTCCTCTGTCCAACTCACCACACCTCCACGTAGAAAGAAGTTATATTCATCCATGTTGAGCTTGCCAGAGGTCTCCAGGATTTTCGCACACATCTGGAAGCTGAACAGTAGCTTGTGGCGTTCAAAAAGGGTACGGCAGGTATACCTGGAAGGAGCCAGAAGGGGACAGGGCAGGATGAAGTGGAGGTGGGATGTGAACAGGATGCGCTCTGAGTGAAGAGCACACAGTCGCGGTCTTGCTCCAGACAGAGATCATGGTGCAGCTCAGAAGACAGATCTGAACTGTGAAGGCATGCAGCATTGGGAAGGCTGGGGAGGGAACAGTCTGCAGAGGGACTGCTGGGCAAAACCTGGTGACTGAGCTGAGAAGACAAAAGAACAAACAAGCATGTCTTGGAGAAGGTGCAGCCAGAGCGCTCCTTGGAAGCAAGGGGTGGGGGTTGGGGGGAAGCTTCGTCTCACATACCTTGGGCATGTTTCTAGGAGAGATTATTCCTTGCAAGGGGACATCATGCTTGGAAAAGTGAATGGACAGTAAAGGAAAGGAAGACCCTCAACCTGGTGGATTGACACAGTGACTACAGCAGTGGGCTCAGGTGTGTCAGAGGCATGGCACAGGACACGACAAGGTTCAGACATATTATTGTTCACAGGGTTGCTCTGAATTGTACTTGACTCAACAGCACCCAACAACAAGCCTAGTAGACAGCTGTGTATGTAAGTCCAGTGCTTAGGAGAGAGTTGAAGCTATGAACTCAGGTATAATCAGCCCATGTGATAGTTAAACCACAAGAGCTGATGAGCTGCTCCTGGAGAGAAGAGCAGATAATGAACACTGCATTGGAACAGATGAGGGGAAGAACTGTCCAAAAGGAATATATGATTAGGCATTATATGTATAGCAACTGTCTGGAAGAAAGGGTGCATTGCACAATGGACTAGGGGAGGGGGAAACTAGGAGGGAAGAAAGTGTGCAGCAATGAGTGAATTAAAAAACCCACAAAAGAAGCAGACAGTGGAGTCAGCAGCAGAGCGAGGTCACTTGGCCTCCCACCTTTGAGGGGGGTGGGGGCTCAGACCTGTAGACCGCGTAGGTGTGGTACTCATTCAGGTAGTCTATGCGGTCCTCCAGCTTGTTGCTGCGGTGGCTTTTGTCAATGCTAAGGACAAAGAGGCTGATGTAGGCATCGAGTGAGAACTGGTACATGGGGTCGATGCGGCCCATGTCGTTGAGCACGAAGAACAGCACCGCTGCCCTCTGGGCACATGGACGGTAAGCCTGCAGAGGGGAATAGCCAGGCTGCAGACGGGAGAGCCGGGCTGCAGAGGGGAGAGCCGGGCTGCATGCAGAGGGAAAAGCCAGAGCTGTAGGGGGCAGAGCCAGGCCTGGAGAGGGGCACAGTGTGCAGCAGGGCTGAGGGAGGCCTTCCTGATGTTTCCTGATGGCTGGCTGGGCCTGCGCAGGCCCTCAGGAGCTCACCTCCCGGGCCAGGTCAATGTTGATCTCCGTGGTTTCACTGGTCTCCAGCTGCTCTGTCACCTCAGTGGCAGTGACCTTGGAGGTCTGCAGGGTGTTCACCAGTTGTACATCGTCCAGCAAGGAGCCTGTGGCCTCATTCAGCAAACTAGAGGGAGTCAAGGGACACACAAGTAGAGTGGCTGGTTAAGAATACAGGACCAATAATCCAATTACAAAACAGGAACAAAACATGGAATGACTTTTCATAGAGGAAGACATTCAGATGGCCAACAGACACATGAAGAGAAATGCTTACAATCACTGGCAATAAGAGAGATGTAAATCAAAACCACAAGGAGATATACCATCTTACCCCAGTAGCAGTGGCAAAATTTAACAGAACAGCAAGTAATAAAAGTTGGAGGGGATGTGGAGAAATAGGAACTCTTATACATTGTTGGTGGGATTGTAAAATAGTACAACCACTCTGGAAAGCAGTTTGGCACTTCCTTAGAAAGCTGAACATAGGAATTTCATAGGACCCAGCTATTCCACTGCTTGAAATATACTCCAAGAAAATTAGGACTGAGACACAGAGATTTGTACACCAATGTTCACAGCAGCGTTATTCACCATCACAAGAACATGGAAACAGCCCAAATGTCCAACCACAATCGAATGGACTGAGAAACTATGGTATATTCACACGGTGGAATACTTACTTAGCACTCAGGAGCAATGATTTAGAAAATTACTACATAACTTGGGAGGGACTGAAAAGCATAATGCTGCGCGAACAAACTCAGTCCCATAAGGATAAATATGGCATAAGACCATTACTGTAAAAATAGAAACTAGTGGATAATTAGTAAAACGTATAGGAAGATCCAACAGGGTGGGGGGTGGGCAGGAGCAGAGAAGTGAGGATGGCAAGGGGAAAATCACAGGATCATACAACTTGATGGGTGGAGCGAGGGGTGGGTAAAGGAAATGGGAAAGATCTGGCGGGGATCTGGAAAGACCAGGCAGCGTGGACATAGTTCAGTGTTGATTGATTTTATAAAATATAATGAATGGGAATGATTGTATGAAACACTATGTGAATTAAGGATAGTGGGGAAACACAATGTATAGGAACTTTGCAAGCAAACCAATATAAAAGAAAAAAGAATCCAGATGGGGCCAGGGACTCTTCAGCTACCACGTGCCTGCTGGAGAGTGGGCCCGGGGGTAGGGGGTGGCCGAGTGAGCCTGGTCTCACCGAAGGATCTCGTCCTCCAACTCCTGGAGTTTCCTCTTGCCAGCGGCGATGTTGATGACGAGTGTGTCCTTCTGCTCCTCCAGTTCTGGCCTCTCCTTCCGGACCACGATGCCCAACAGCTGTGCCTCCAGGCCCTGCAGCACAGTACTTAAGGTGAGTCCCGCTCTTGCAACCTTCACCCCTTTTTTATCCCTTTTCAAATCCCAAGTCTCTCTTCTTTAACTATTCAGTCATCTTTTTCTAGATCTTTCCCAACTGCTTCACCCAAGTTCAGTCCAGGCATCAGCCCTTACCCACCTGCTCTTTGACAGCAAAGTTTACGATGGTGGTCTTGGCTGAGGTCTCTGGGCTATAGTGGGGGTTGGAGAGCTTGGTGGTGATGTAGAAACGAAAGTTTGGGTTGTATTCCACTTCCTTGTCTCCAATGCGCATCAGCAGGCGACCACCTGCAAGGGCCCACGGAACCAGGTGTGGGTTAACCTGTTCCCATCTCAGCCTGCCCCAGTGGCCCCATTCTTGGTCATCCTGAATGCAGGGGCAGCAGGCAGGCTGCACAGCCAAAAGACCTTTCCTCACCAGGGCCCCACACAATTGGTCTCTAGGACTTGTCCCCCAAATCCAACCCCAGCTTTAGCCTGGACTCTGACCAATTTGTGCCACAGATTTGTTGAGCACGGGGTTAAGTGTGGGGTCCAGGTATTCCTGCACGTTCTGTAACAGCACTGGGTATCCAAACTGGATGGCGTTTTCTAGGATTCGAAGGTAGTCACTCATCTGCAGGTCAATGATCTTGAGGCCCTGAGGGAGTAAGGAGAAAAGAAGGAAGCTGAACTAAGGAATAAACCAACAAAATCCAAGGCTACTGCTGTCGAGCCAGTGCTGACGTGTGGTGGCCCCACGTGCAATGGAGAACAACTACAGCATCTACAAATGGCTTCCGGACAGGGTCTCAGAAAAAGGCAGTTCATGGGAGGGTATTCAGTCACTCAGCCTTGAACCTGGTTTCCTTCCATGTTCTTAATCCACTTCAGGGCCTGAGCCTGAGGATCGATCATGAGCGCCCACCTGGAGGAGGGAGCGTCAGTTAGGAGGCAGGCTCGGTTTTCCTGCCTCTCACCCCCAACGATGTGCTCACCTGTTGCCCCGGGTGACTATGATGCCATTCTCAGTGGAAAAGGCGTCCGAGGGCAATCCCTGGATGTTCCAGTCTCGGACTTTGGTAGGGTTAGAAAGGAAGTTATCAAAGGTGAAGCGAGGCGAGCAAGGAACCTGCAGCTCTCCGATCTGAGAAGGGAAGAAGAGGGAGCCTTGGATGTTAATGTCCAAGGCCAGCAGTCCTCGACCCTCTGCTTCTTGTCTCCTTAAAGGCCCTGCTCAACCTCAGAGCTCACAGATCTCCTTCAGATCTTCCTCATCACATCTAAGCCTCATTTCACCTTCTTCATCCAAATGTCGTTGACAATCTCATCTCGATAGTTGGTCAGGAAAGGTCCCATGTAGGACAGGAAGGCAGCAGCTAGGAGACAATCGCCCACCAGGTAGCCGAGGTCCTCCTCCAAGCCCTAGGGAAAAGCAGGGGAGGTGAGGCCTATCTGAGACCCAGCTCTTTGGGAGACATTGTGAATGCTTTTGAAGGCATTTCCCTCTGAACATTGTCTAGATCAAAGAGATTCCTTCCCTCTCCTAATCCTTCACACCCTGGAGAGCTCCAACCTGAGTCTAATTACTTGTGAGCTGCCTCTTAACAGCAATGTTTACATTCTGATGATGGGGCCTCACCCTTTCATTAGGCCAGGAGCAAAAAGAGGCCAGCAGTTTCAAGCTGTGTCTGTTGTCCATGCAGTCAAAGGACTATGTAACGAGTTCCTGTGTATGCTCACCTGCCCTAGGTAAACACTACAGCACATCACTGTTGCTGTTATCACTGGGTATTGTGGGGTTGGCACTGTCCCACAGCTGAACCTCCAGTGGGGTTTCAGAGGCAGTAAATCGCACCAGAGGAGATCTTTCTCCTAGGGAGCAAACTAGAGCTCCCTGTTGCCATCAAGTGGAGTAAGACTCAACTTCCTTATGAACAAAAGACCTGAACCCTGTCCTGTCCTGTGCCATCCTCATCATCTCTGACACTCTTGAGCCCATTGCTGCAGTCACTGTGTTACTCCTTCTCATTGAGGGTCTTCCTCTCTTTTGCTGACCCCACATTTTTCCAAACAGGATTATCTCTTTCCAAGGAAAAAATTTTATGAGGAACAGATCCAAAGTATGAGAGGTGAAGCTTTGCCATCTTTGCTTCCAAGAAGCAGTCTAGCTGCACCTTTTCCAAGACATATCCGGTTGTTCTTTTGGCAGTTGATGGGATGTCAGCACTCTTCTCCAGCACAACTCAAAGGTATCAATTCTTCTGTCATCCTTATTCATTATCACTTGCATAGCAAGTGACCAGAAACCATGTGTCTGAATAAAGTATACCTACCTTAGTCTTCAAATTGACATAATTGTTCCTAAGTATTTTTGAGAGGTCCCTGGTAACAGACTTATCCTGTGTAATGTGTCTCCTGGTGTCCTGACTGCTAGTAAAAAGGGTACTGATTTTGATCCAAGCAAGACAAAATCACTGACAACTTCAATCCTTTCTCCATCTATCATGACTGATTGTCTACTGGCCCAGTGGTGAGGACCTTTGTTTTCTTGATATTGAGATGCAATCCATATAGAAGTCCTTGGTTGTTGGCAGCAACCATTTCAAGTCTTTCTCACTTTCAGCAAGCAAGGTTGTGTCATCTGCTTAATGCAGGTTGTTGATGAGTCTTCTTCCAATCCAGATGCCACATTCCTCTTCATAGACTCTAGCTTCATGATTTATTTGCTTAGCACACAAACGGAATAAATATGGATAAAGGCTACAACCCTGACATATACTTTTCCTGATTTTAAACCATGCAGTGCTCCCTTGCTCTGTTTAAACAGTTGCTTCTTGATCTAATTTTGCAAAAGCACAATTAAATGTTCTGAAATTCTCATTCTTCTCAATGTTAGCCATAGTATGTTCATGACTGACACAGTCAAAATGCCTTTGCATAGTCAATAAAACACAAATAGACAGACATTCTTCTGGTATTCTCTGTTTTCGGCCAGGATCCATCTGACATCAGCAAATGACATCCCTGGTTGTCATGTCCTCTTCTAAACCCAGCTTAAACTTCAGGCAGATACCTGTCAATGTATTGCTCTAGCCATTTTTGGATGATCTTCAGCAGTATTTTGCCTACATATGGTATTAATGATATTGTTCTGTAATTTCTACATTCTGGATCTCTTCCAGTCAGTTAACCAGGCAGCTGTCCTCCAAACGTTCTAGCTTAGACTGGTGAGCACATTCAGGGCTACATCTATCATTTGAAACATACTAATTGATATCCCTTATTTTCTGGCCTTTTTTTTTTTTTTTTTTTTTTTTTTGCCAGTGCAGCTTCAACTTCATTACCTTTGGCTCTTGTTCATTTAGTATTTCCTGAAAATTTTCAGTGTCAGCTAATTCTTTTTTGGCACAATGACTCTGTATTCCTTCTGTCTTCTTTTGATGCCTCCTGGATCATTCAAGATTTTACCCATAGCAGCTCTTAGTACTACAACAAGAGGCTTGAATTTGTTTTTTACTTCTTTCAGCTTAAGAACTGCCAAGTGATTCTTCTCTTTTTATACTCTTAGCTCCAGCTCTTTGCATATTTGGTTAAAATATTTTCCTGTCTTCTTGAGCTGCCCTCTGAAATCTGTTTATATCTTTCACTTTGGCATCTCTTCCTTTTGTTTTGGCTTCTCAATACCCAAATGCAATTTCCTTAGTCTCTTCTGACACTCATTTTGGTTTTTTCTTTCTCTTCTGTCCTTGTAATGACTTTTTTTGCTTTTGTACAAAAAGTCTGGCCTCCATTGTCAGTCAATGTAAGTGCCCTGAGGGTGCATGAGGGGATCTGGCTGACCTAGGCCCATTTTCCCTGGCTTCCTTCACTTAAAGGGTCTGGTGGGCAGGAGAGGAGGGGAGGTGGCATTAGAGCTGCGCTCACCTTTACAGTCTCTTCCCACCGGGCCTTCTCACCAGCTAACCCAGACACCAGCATCCCAGCTCTCTCCAGCTTCACTTTCATCTCCTCAGACTTCTTGCGAAGTTCTTCCTTCTGTGTCAGCTTCTCATCATACTGTTTCTTCAGCATCTCCAATTTCTCAGCCACCTAGGAGGAGTCAGAGCACAGGGGACCAAACACAGACATTGAGGTTACACTGTTTCGGGCTTAACTCCTGGCTCTGCCATTTTGTAGCTGAATAGCCTTGGTCGAATGAATTTTTGATGCTCACTTTTCATATTTACACAATAAGAATATAGCGCCTGCCTTTCTATGAAGATGGTGCCAACAACGAAGGAAGCCCCTGACACTCCTAAAACTGAAGCCAAAGCAAAGAAAGATGATCCACAAGTCAACCACATTCCAGTGGCCTAAGACACCGAGACTCTGAAGGCAGCCCAAATATCCCCGGAAAAGCGTCCCCAAGAGAAACAAGCTTGACCACTATGCCATCATCAGGATTCCCCTGACCACTGAGTCAGCCATGAAGAAGATAGAAGATAACGACACACTTGTGTTCATTGTGGATGTCAAAGCCAATGAGCACCAAATCAAACACGCTGTAAAGAAGCTCTATGACACTGGTTTGGCTAAGGTCAACACTCTGATTAGGCCTGATGGAGAGAAGAAGGCCCGTGTTCACCTTGCTCCTGACTATGATGCTTTGGATGTTGCCAACAAAATTGGGATCCTCTAAACTGAGTCCAGCTGGCTAATTCTAAATATAAATTTTTCTCACCATATGAAAGAATAGTATAAAGAGCAAGTGAGATAAAATGTGTGCACTAAATTTGCTTTCTCTTCCCTCCATGGCTCATTTCTAGAGCCTGTGACTGCGGCAGGAGACAGACCTCTCACAGGATAATAATTAACCACACAAGATGTGTTGGCAAGAGAGGCTCAGAAAGCACAAAAATGTCTGGCATTCCACACCAGGCTCCATCCCTAAGGCAGGACCTTGATAAAAGAAGAAAAAGACACAAAATGAATCAGGGGGCTGCTGAAGAGAGGAAAAAAGGAGGGCAGTTGGAAAAGGACTCCTCCAGGGGAAATGCTTCCTGAAACAGCAGCTAGTATGAACAGTCTCAGACAAAGGCCTGACACAGATGGGAACCTAGGAAGAGCGGTACCTGCTAGATACATCATTGCTATTCGGGAGGCTCTGCGGAACCAGATGCCATCAAGTTGATGCCACCGACTCACAGTGACCTCTATGTGTCGGAGTCAAACTACACTCCAATGACTGACCTCTCCGAAGGGGATCGCCCCCAGGAATTTCTTCCAAGGTGGGTTAACTTGAACCACTGACCTTTTGGTCAGCAACTGAGTATCTGAACTGCTCATGGCCCTCAGGAGCGTCAGGCTTCCCTTAGGCTGGACTAGCCCACCTGAATCTTTTTTTTTTTATCTTCTAAATAATTTTTTTAGTAAAATAAGATAAACGATTACATGTTTATCTTCAAGAATGTAAAGGTCTAATTATTCAAATAGTTTTTATTACAAAACTAAACTCTGAAGGCGTCTACAGAGTTGAATTTTTTTTTCTTCACTCTTTAAATCAGTAGTATAACAAGAATTAGAAAAGAAAAGTCTGTTCAGTGTTTCTGAATCTTTATTTTGTTGTTGTTGTATACCATCAAATCGGATCCAACTGGCATAGGAGGAGATTGCCCATCCTTCTCCAGTGGAGCATCTAGTGGATTGGAACCATGTGCCTTCAGGATTGCAACTTCTTGCCACTAGGCCACCAGAGCTCCCACCACTTGAATCTTTAGCAGGGGACTGATGGAGCCTCTTCCCGAATCCCACATGCATTCCTGGCTAAGAGTAAGCATTTGTAGTGGTGTTACCTTCCTTTCCACAAGAAATAAGGAGTGGAACCCATGTTTATTGCAGCTTTGTTCACAATAGCAAGGAGTTGGAAACAACCTAAGTGCCCATCAACAAACGAATGGCTAGAGAAGCTGTGGTATATTC